CCCCAGAGGGTGCCTTTCACAGCAGTGCCAATCTCCCCACAGCCAGGCAGCCTCCCTCGGTGCCCCTGAGCTGCGATGGGCGTTCCCCCACCCCCACACTGTGGCCTTGCAGGCCGTGTCCTGCCTAGTGTGCACATCACCCCCATGGTCCTCGGCCGCCGCCTGGAGGGACCCTCACAGCGGGCTCCCTGGACACTCCGCCAAGGACCCCTCAGGGTGGGGGCCCAGCTCAGCTCTGCGACCGGCCAACCTGGGCCGTGCGCGCACAGGCACGCACAAGCACATGCGGGGGATAGGGGTCCACGGAGGGCAGCCGGCCAGGGTCCTGCTGTCTGACACACGCTGCCTTCCCACCAAGTCTCCATCTAGTGTCACTACTGAAAGCCGGCCCAGGCTGCAGGGGGGGTGGGGAACCTTCTCCCATGAGTCTCTAAGGGCTTCTCGGCAACTACCCACTCCCCCCACCCCCGATTGTAACACGAGGGTCCACCCAAGGCTGGTGGGGGGAGAGGCCTGTGGGTCAGCATTGGACTGCCCACCACAGTCGGTGGTTCAGACCCACCAGCTGCTCCGAGGGAGGAAGACGAGGCTGTCAGTTCCCACAACAATTCACAGTTCTTTCCTGCCCTGTGGTCACTGTGTGCTGGCCTGGTCATGGGGAAGGGGTGGCACTGTCACGGTGCCTCTGTTCACGCAGGGCAGTCCCCCCCCATGCCCCTGCGCTTTGGGCGGTGGACAAACACTATGTGGCTGTTGGGAGGGGCAGGGCCAGGTGCCAACCCCAACTGATGGTGCCTGCTAATGCCCAGCACGTTTCCTGCTCAGTGAACAGGGTTCAGAGCCCACAGGCCTACCTGCGTCCCCTCGGCCAGCCAGCACCCCACCTCCTGGCAGACAAGCCAGAAACGGGCATGTGTGGGGTAGGGTGGGGTGGACGGACGTATTCAGCTGGTCATCCCAGGCAAGGCAGAGCAGAGGAGGCTGGCCCACGGGTGGCTCCCTTCACTTTGTCCAGTCCGAGCATCCCCACTGGGTGTGCCAGCCAGGAGCACAGAGCAGCGTGCCACTGACCCACGGCCACTCACAGCCCCCACCCCCTTGGCGGCCAGCCCTGTCTCAGGAGCCTTGGCTTTTGTCTGATGGCGGTCTTTAGTTTCATGTTATTCTCGCCCTGATGTCTTCTAATTGTTTCTGGGGCGTCAGAGAGGCAGGAGGCCACCTGTACCTCGTCAACAATTGCAAACAGACAATTGTAACAATAAAGGTCTCGAAGCCTATGCCTTCCTCCTCCTCCGGCTACCCCCACGGCCCCGGGCCGTGCCCGGTTTCTCAGTGGAGTTCAGCTCCAAGTCTGGTCGTTGGTCGTTTTTAGAGATCACTCACACCCACCCTCCTTGCTGCCCTCCTCCCTTCTCCTCACAGCTTTGATAAAGAAGAAAAGTCCAGTCGGGCGAGGTCATTCCAAGGTAAAACCACGGGCCTGGGCCCTGGAGGCAGGCAGGCAGGTGTGATGGGAAAGGTGGAGGTGTGCAGGACACCCTGTCCCTGTCGGGAACACCCTGAGCCGCCCACCTCAAGCCCGGGAGTGGACATTCCACCCCTCCTACCTCAGGGCAGGGACTGGATACATGTAGATACAAACCCCATTGGTCTGCAGAAGAGGATTGGCCACTCAGTCGAAGGCCAAGAGCAAGCGTACATGCCCGCCCTGTGCGCAGCATCAGTGGACGGCCCGGCCCAGGTCCCAGACTCGTCCGAAGTGAGCGTAGCCCTGGGAGGCTGAAAGGCCAGGGTGGAACCAGCAGCCGTTCCGCGGGAGAAAGACCAGTTGCAGCCTTGGACCCGGCAGGGCAGCTGTCCCCGCGGGAGAAAGACCAGTTGCAGCCTTGGACCCGGCAGGGCAGCTGTCCCCATCCCACAGGGCCATCAAGCAGACGGGGCCCCGAGGGCAGTGGGGTGATTGCAATGGGAGTACTTTAACTCAAGGGCCCTCTGCTGCTTATAGGAAGGTCGGTGGTTCAGACCCAGCAGCTGCCCTGAGGGAGGACAATGAGGCTGTCTGCTCTGGGGAGATGGCAGCCCTGCCCTGAGGTGTCCATCGCCTAATCAACAGGGTGAAGCGCAGACCTGGGGCATCTGCTGTGGTGGGGCAGGGTCACCCTGTGGACCCATGCAGGTGCTGGGAAAATTGGAGGTGATCTATGTCCACTCTGATGACCTCAGGGCCCCTGCCCATACCCCAGTATACCTCTGTTGGCCACGGAGGGCATTCTGATGGAGACCCCGCTTCCCGATGGCTGGAACTGTCTGAAGCAGTTCTTGGTTCCCGTGTGCCGTCGCAGAGGAGAATGGCAAGCACCTCAGAATACCAGGACCACCAGCTCCGATTCCAGACAGACTGGCAGAGCCCTGGTGAAGCCGTGGGTCAGGCATGGGGTTGCTCACCGCGAGGACAGCAGTTCAAACCCACCAGCCACTCCACGGGAGAAAAATGAGGCTGTCTGTTCCTGCAGCAAGTTTCAGCCCCGGGAGCCCACGGGCAGTTCTGCTCTGCCCTACAGGCCGCAGGGAGTCAGGATCCACTTAGGGCAGTGAGTTTGGCTCATTGGAGGCATTTCCAAGACCAGCCCTTGTAGCGAAGTGGGTTAGGCATCGGGCTGTTAGCCACACAGTCAGCAGTTCAAACCTACCAGCTGCTCCCTGGAAGACGAGGCTGTCTTCTCCTTGGGAACTCAGGGGCAGCAGCTGTGAATCTCACAGCAGAGGGGAGTGGGAGGGGGAGATGTCCAGCCAGCCCTGATGACAGCAACCTGTGTTTGAGAACTGAGCTGCCCCTAGGCAGGCCGGTTCTGGCCACAGTGACCCCATGTTAGAGAGTGGAGCTGCCCCCATGCCTCCTAGGCTGTCTATTTAGGGGATCAGAGTGCCAGGCCACTGGGTGGGTCTGAACCACTCATCTTGGTTAGCTGTCAAGGGCTTGACGCCCACATCCCCCAGGGCCCCTTTCTCCAGGAAAAAGCTGTTTGCTAGCGCACAGGCGGCATTTGGATAAGCGGCCCGTTTCTCCTGGAGCAAACACACACTGCCATCCAGTCCACTGCCGGGGGAGGCTGCCAACAATCTACTGAACCAGACTCCCCAGGGCAGCTGGTGGGCTAGAACCACCTACCTTGAAGTTTCGAAGCAGAGCACCTTAAGTCACCCAGGCCCATAGGGGGCTGGGCATTTGTTCTCCCATCGGGCCCCTCCTGAGCAGGCCCCATCCTGGCTTCACCAAACATTGTCCAGCTCCTCCCTGGTCAGCTCAGCCAGCAGCCCAGGCCCCCCACTGCAGCCACAGTGTGGAAGGTCTGCACACAGGCCCCCACCCTGCAGCCTAGGTTTGCATGCAGGGCCCCCCACCCCCGCCACACACACACAGTCCTGTCCCTCTGCTCCAGAAACCATAAATAGCCCTCTGGAGCCCCACCCTCTTTGTGCAAACAGCCCCAGCCACTCGGCCGCTTTGTTTGGGTTGGCACCTCACTGAGGGCCGGGCCACCCACCAGGGAGTCCAGCCTGGCACCACCGAACTTCCTAAGGGCTTCCTGGGAATCCCAGCGGATGATGACATGGGGGTGGGGTCCCTCCTGCTGTCACCCCGCAGACCTCCCTCCTAGCAGACCCTGCAGAATCCTTGTCCTAGAGGACTCTGGATCCAGCTGTGCCCCCCGCCTGCCCCCCTCTGCTCTGGGAACCTTTGTGCTTCGTTGGCAAAGACGCACCGAGTCCGCGATGATAAGGAGGTGGGTGACCTGCAGGGGAGAGCACCCCCGGGATGTTCTGTGTTGGGGGTGGGGGGGCAGACAGTGGCAGCTCAGGACAGGACAGACAGACTCAGGGCGGCCCCAGCCACAGGCTAGGCCTGCCCCTGTGGCTGTAACTGCCCCTGCGGGTGTCTGAGGCTGTAACTTTACGTCTTCCTTTCCACGTGCCAAGCTCAGCCCCTCACCTGCTCACCAGCAGGGGAGATCCCAAACAAATGACTGTAAGTACACGGCTGGGGTAAACGGCTTCTCGTGCTCACAAACGGCTCACAAAAACCTGCGGCCGTCGAGCTGGCGTGTACCCTGTGGGACATGGCAGAGCTGTGCCAGTGGGTTTCCCAGACTGCAACTACCTGTCCGTCTCCAGTCGGTTTTGCACGGCAGACCTTTCGGATGACAGCCCGGTGTGGAGCCTCTGCGATGCCAGGGCTCCTGACCCAATTACAGGGAGAGAGAGAGATTTTTTAAAAAATAAATTTTGCAGAAACACGGTCCTCTGGCCTCACCCCGACTGACTGTGTCCCCCGTTGGTCCACACCTGTGTCCCCCGTTGGTCCACATCCACATTCTGATGGATGTCACTGACCCGGCCCCCCAGGTCCTCAACTGCTTCCTGGTCGGAGGTGTCCAGTTCTCAGAACACGGGGAGGCAGAGGAAGGACTCCGGGCCGCGGCTGGAGGAACTGGACATGCTGCACCTCCACCCCTCTGAGCCTGCGTCCTCGCCCAGCAGGGGGACGCCACGCGCAGACTGAGTCGAACTGCCCCTGGGGGTCTTCTCGGCTGGACCCCAGAGAGGGTCGAATGGTCGGGGGAAGAAAGGCCGCCGGAGTGCTCCTTAGAGGCAACCACAGAGAGACCTTATCCCACGGAGCCTGGTCTCGGGATCAGGAGAGACCAGTCCCTGGAGAAGGCCGTCATGCGTGGGCGCACGGAGAGGCGGCGAGAGGAAGGCCCTGGAGGAGGGGGCTGGACACTGGCCGCAGCAATGGGCTCACACGGGGCGGGCGGAGGCCCTGAGGATGGTGCAGGCCTGGGTTCAGACCCCCAGCCTTTGGGGGCATCACTCTGGGACCCCAGGTCCTGTGAGGACAGAGGGGGTGTGGCAGGTACCCAGCCCAGTGCCTGGAAGGGGCCAACCCAAAGGGCTGGGGTTTATGAGGCAGGACCTGTCCCTGCAAGCCAGAGCCGATGGCGATGGTCGCTCGCTGGGGAGGCCTGGCCTTCCTGCCCTCTCTGGGGCTTCCAAAGTGGGGATGCCCCCCATCCCCACTCGGGGTGTAAACTTCCTGTGTGTCTGTGTCTGCGAGTCTCTCCCCTGGGCTCCCATCAGTAGAGCTGGGCCCCACAAGGCTTCCAAGAAGCGGATCACCAGGCCTCTGGGTGCACTAGGACCTCCATGGACGACATCCAGGGGCTCTACCGGAATCCTCCATGGGTGTTCCCACTGGGGGCCATTGGGTTGGTAGGTTGCAACTCACAGTGGCCCCACGAGGCCGAGCAGAACTGCCCCCGGGGTTAGGAGGACAGCATGGCCGGTCTCGGTGTGGGCACCAGGTTCAAATCCCCGACTGTGCACCTAGCAACCAGGCTAGACCACCGCCCCCGCTCCCAGGATGCTCAGACCTGCGTGTGGGCCCCTGAGCCCGGCTGCGGCCTGTCCATAGGCCATGTGGACATGGCGCCCAGCACCGAAGGCCAGGCTGGGCCCAGGGCCTGTGGGACAGGGTCGGTGGGCAGTGCCTGAGCCAAGCTCTGGCAATGGGGGCGGCCAAGGGCCGGAGTGTTGAGACCACTTGCTCTCCCCACCGGGCTTACACCTGGGGGATACTGTGGCAAGAGCCTCCCTGGCTCATCTGAGGGAGGTGGGCTTCAGGGAGGCAGGGAAGGAGGCTGGAAGAGGAGAAATCGGGGATGCCGGGGTGCGTTTGTTCGTGTATGTGTGTGTGTGGTGCGTGCCTGTGCATGTGTGATTATATGTACATGCATGTGGGTGTGTGTACCTGTGCGTGCGAGTGTGCCTATGTGTACCTACATGTGTGCATGCATTCCGTGTGTGGGCATCAGTGTAGGAGTGTGCCGACGTGTGACTGGGCACATCTGTGTTTGGGAGCACGTGTATTTCGCATGTTTGCATGTGTGTACGCTGGGTAGAGGGTTGAGTGTGTGGGTATCTATGTGCATGCTTGTGTGCACATGCCTATACTGAATGTGTGTGTAGGAGTGTTGGGTGAGTGCGTGTGGTGAGTGCACACGTGTCCCTATGTGTGTGTGCATGTGTATCCGTGTCTGCAGTTATGTAGGTGTATGATGTGTGCGCATAATTAAGTGCATGTGTGGGAGTAGATGTGTGTGCTGTGTGTTGACGTGTGTAGTTGTGCATGTGTTGTGTATCTGGGTGTGTGTGTGGCATGTACATGCATACACTGAATGTGTGCATGTGGGAGTGGATGCACGTGTACACGTGTGCACTTAGAAGGCAAGGGTGCATCTGCAGCTCCTTGTCACATGACCCAGTACGGAAGGCCCAGGACCCCAAACACAGATTGTACTCAAGCCCCTGGGGGGCCTCCCACAGTGTGACCACCCCCGGCCCCCAGCCACCCGGCCCAGCTGGAGGTGTTTGCTGGGAGCCCTGGTGTTGCAGACAGACAGACAGACTTAGAGGTGAGACAGTCATACCTTTACTACCCAAACCACCTGGGCCTTTGTTTGGTGGGAACCACATCTGCAGATGTGGCCACCCACCTTCTCAGTCAGGGCCCAGAGTGACCTGTTGATGTCCTACATAGGCGAAGCCCCCACGACCGCCCAGCCGCTCCTAGCCCCATCAGCCCCGAGCAAAGGACAGGACCCCCCTCAAAACCTCCCAGCCAGCTCCCTCACTGTGGCACAAGGTAGCCAGGTAGGCTTGCCCAGCAGGTACAGGACCAACCCCGGGTCCCACTGCACACAGGCTTCCAGAACCTTCCCAGCCCTCCTGGGGAGGCACCATTCCCCCCCTGAACCTGGGGTGCATCTCTGCCACCCCACCCCCCTTCCGCAGGCACGTCATGTCATGGCCAGGGCACTGCTGGTGGCTTACAAAGTGAAGCCCACAAGGCAGCCAGCTTCCACCTGGCTCTCCCTTGGGCGGGCTGCCCGGAGCTGAGCCACCAGGGAAGGGGGTGACGTAGAGCGAGCGGAGGGCCAACGTGGCTACTACCTCAGAGTTAACCCTCCCTGCCTGGCCAGGAAGGAGCTGAGGGAAAGCATGCTCCTGATGGTAGTCCTGAGTGGGCCCCTGGGCCCCGAGAGAGTCTGTCACTGACCCTCACTGCCTAGGCCTCCTCCTGGCCGCGGTGCGAGGGAGATGGCTCCGCCTTGGCCAGCTTCCAGGAGCCCAGCTTCTTCCGCCAAGAAGACAGTGTCTCCCCCAGGGCCTTCCGCAGCCCCGGGCTGTCCTTGGCACTGGGCAGGGCCTGCCGGGGGGCCGGGAGCCTCCCTGTGAAGAGCTCCCATCGGGCCAGCGCGTCCACGGCTGCGTCCAGCCGCAACAGCTCCTCCTCCGCCTCCTCCCTCTCCAGGGCCCGGATGCAGGCCGCCAGCCACAGCCTCTGTTCCCTGAGCGTCCCCGCAGGCTCGATGGGGCTCCCAGCCGGGGGCTGGCCCTCCAGGTCCTCCAGGGGCAGCAGCTCAGGAGGCCCCCCGTCCGGGGTCAGGGGCTCCGACAGGCTGGGGGCCTCCGAGTCATTCTCGACACCCAGCCCTGAGTCGGCGCTGAGAGGCAGCGTGTCCTCAGACCCCGAGCGGTCAGGCGTCTCCCAGCCAGGCCCGGCTCCGGCCACGGCCTGTGTCCAGGCATGAAGCCCCTGAAAAGAAGAAACACAGGCCGAGTCCAGGGCGCAGGCTACCGTGGGCTCACACACAAAGACGGGGGTCCCAGTGTCCTCAGCTGTAGCCTATACACCTGAGGCCACCCAAGGCCAGCTCTCAGGGACCTCTAGGCCTGCACATGGGCACGGGCCATGGGGGCTCACACGTGGGCGGCAGCTGCGGGCAGTGTGTCCACCGGGAGCAACAGCCTGCAGCCGACTTCCTCTCCGAGGTCAGGCCACTCCCAGCCCAGCGCCCTCAGACAGCAGGGACTCAGGGCCAGGTGGGTCTCTCGAGGCTGGGAGGGTGCTTAGCAGGGTCCCGGGAGCAGGGATGAGACCCCTGGTCAGGGGCCAGCACAGGCCACTTTCCCTTCCTACAGCCGGGGGGTAGCTGACCTGCCTGCCCTAGAGCCTGCCCGCCCTCTGGCCTCTCCAACTCACCCATCCCCTCCCTACACCCCGCTTACTCTGAGCCCCTTCCCCCAGGTCGCCTTTCTTAGCTTAGATCTGCCCCCTCTAGGCCCTTTCCTGTCCCAGAAAGCCCCCTGCCGCCTGCTCAGTCCCCTGACATGACGCTCAGGGCAGGCAGGGTGCTCAGGGAGATCCTGGTTCACCCGGGTGGCCAAGAAGACCTGGCACTCCGCTTCCAGAAAGCCCGGTGCAGCACAGCCCCGACCTGACCCTCCCCGAGGCCCATAGGGACCCCTCCCCCGAGGCAGGGCAGGAGTGGAGTGTGGAAGGGAAGGGACATGAAGATGCCCAGTCCTCCCATCAGGACCCTCGGCCACGTGCCACCCCAGGGCGAGCCCCAACAGCCAGGCTGGCCGCCCTGGGACGTGTTCTGCCCCTAAGAAGAGCAGTCCAGGCCAAGCCAGCACCACGTCCCAGTGGAGACGGCTCCGCCTGCAGCCAGGTGTACTCAGGCTGCCCCTTCCCTGACACCTGCTCCCTCAGTGAGCCAACACCCCAGGGTGACCCCTTCCCTCTGTGAGAGAGCAGAACTGTCCCGCACCCCTGCCCCGGGCTTCCTGGATGGTAGCTCTATCGAGGCAGACAGGCAGGCCTTTCCTCCTGACTCAGAGCCCCGGCTGTTCAAGAGCCGTTATTTGTTTGGTTGACATCCGAGCGCTTAACCCTCGCGTCGTCAGGGCTTCTCACTCTAGAACTCAGAGCTGCTGCTTTGCTTTTAAATGTAAGCAAAGGCAATTTGGCTGAAAGACCTTGTGGCTTCATTCGAATGAGAGCAAAGCCCCCAAACCCAAGTCCACTCCTATCAAGTTCATTCTGCCCCCTAATCAATGACGACTCACGGGGCAGACCCCCCAGGATAGGGTCGAACTGCCCTGTGGGTTGCTGCGGCTTCCTCTGAGCAGCCGGTGGGTTTGAACTGCTGACCTTGTGGTTCCGGGCCCAATGTGTCACCGGGGCCCTGTTTAGTCATCCAAAGGTAGGTATGAAGAAATGACTTTGAGCTCAGAGGGAGGTCGCTGAGTTTGTAAACAATCTCTTTGCTGCCCTGAACCAAGTCCCTTCAGGGACCCTGGCCAGGCCGCTCCCGTGGGGACAGAAGAGGGCAGCAGCACCACACAAGGAAGCCGACTTCACAGTGTAGCTCTCCCGCCGGCACCAGCTCTGCCAAGAGGAAGCCTGGCAAGGGAGCCGGCCATCCAGTGGGTTCCGACGCCTGGTGGTGACGTGCTGAGCTGCTAGTCCAAGGTCCGCAGTTGGAAACTACGGCCGCTCCGAGGGAGAAAGAGGAGGCTGTCTGCTCCTGTCCTGGAGGGCCCCTGGGATGGGAAAGCGAGGCCCGGCTCCAGGGAAGAAAGTCCGGTGCCTGGGGCAGCAGTGTGGCGAGTGTTTAGTCCAGCCTGACTGAGCTGGGATTTCATGTTGCAGAGATTGGGCCAGGCCGTGCTGAGGGGACTGCGGGCTGTCGGTGACAATGGGGAGCTGCCCCGGTCCCCCTTCTAGGAGACAACCTTTATGGGAGCAGCCAACAAGCCCTCTCCTCCCTGTGTCTGTCCACTCCCTTGTGTCTGTCCACGCCCTTGTGTCTGTCCACGCCCTTGTGTCTGTCCACTCCCCTGTACCTGTCCACTCCTCTGTGTCTGTCCATTCCCCCTGTACCTATCTACTTCCCTATGTCTGTCCACTCCCTGTGTCCACTCCTCTGTATCTGTCCACTCCCCCTCACTGGTCCACTCACCTTGTACCTGTCGAGCAGCCGGAAGCCCAGGAGGTGCTGCAGCTTCCGCAGGCAGACTGGGCAGAGGTCGGGGGGCCGCCGCAGGGCTTCATCCAGGCTAAGCGTGCCCTGCAGGAGGCAGCCCAGCCAGCGGCAGCTGCCCAGGCCCAGGAGGCAGCACAGCACGTGACAAGTGGCCTGGGGAAGAAGCAACCTCGAGCCACGCAGCCTACCTCCAAGACCCCCGCCCCTCCCTCCCTACCCTCGACTTCTCTGGTGGCCCCCAGCCAAAAGGCCAGGAAGTCCGCAGTGACCTGAGGGCCAGGCTGCCTAGGGCACCAAGAACAGAGGCTCCTGCCCCCCCCCAACCTCGTCTGAGACTCACTCCGGACAGGCAGGTGAGCCGTGACACCCCTCTGGGGTCAGACACAGGCAGGTGCAGAGCCCAGCTATGCCACTCGACTGCCCGTAGCCCAGAGCCGAAGGCTTAGCCATCCGTCTGCCTCCGTTTCCTCAGTCACACAGATGGACAGAACAAGGCTGCCATTCACCTGGTGCTGTCGGAGGGTGGAGGCAGGGGGCATACCTGCTTGACTCACTTCTCCTCTCCACCTGATTCTGCGCGCTTAGCAACTTCCCTGAGCCCAGCAGACCCCCAGCTCTGGCCCTCAGTCCTCGGCCCTGGGCCCCAGCCTGCTGGCCAGCTGACCACACTCACCCTGCAGCACTGTACCAACCCGAGGGCACTGAAGGCCAGGCCAGGGCCCTGCTCTGGCACACGGACTTCTGTGTTGCCCTCCGCTGCCTCTGCCAAGTCCGGGCCAGCGGTGCTGGACTCCTCCTGCAGCGACTCCCCTGAGAAGCGGGCGAAACTGCAGACACCCACCTCTGGGGGAGAGAAGGGACGGGGCTGAGGACAAACCCACTCCTTCCTTTCTGCCCAGAGATGCCCCCCCTGGTGAGCAGTCATTGCCCAGGAGGAGCTGGAAGGGGCACCGTCCCCCAGGTGTGCACCCGCTTCCCCTGGGCAGGGGGTGAAGCTGGGGTGACAGGCCAAAATGAGGAGGTCGGGGGGGGGGGGGGCGGGGGCAGCTCACCGTGCCCGGGCAGGGACTGGCTGAAGGTGAAGGCCCAGCTCTCTCGTGGGTACAGGTCAGACAGTGTGAGGCCCAGCACGCATAGTGCATCAGCTGGCTTGTGGGTTTTCAGGAAGGACAGGATGCCACCTAGGGACATGGAGCGAGGAGATGGGGCTTCCAGCGCCCAGTGATGCCAGGTGGAGAGATACTCCTCCTGACACACCTTCTCCTAGGTTTAGATCACAAGGCACCCCCTGGCTCTGTCTGCACAACTGTCCCCAGCTCATGGATGGTCCAGGTGTGGCCTGTGTCCAGCTTGGAGAGGGCTGTGCACACAAAGCTCACTCTTACTCACTGGACCCTGCCCTCTTCTGATCACCTGACCTCCAGGGCCAGGGACAGGAGCCCACAGAGACCTCCGGCCCGCCGCCAGACCTGCGGATTTGGAGCTTGCCTTTTACCAAGACCCAAACTCACAGACGCTGAGTCTAAGCTGACTCACAGAGACCCGACAGGGCGGGGTAGCACGACCCGTGGCTTTCTGAGCCGGTCACTTTACAGGAGGAGAAAGCCTTGTCTTTCTCCCATGGAGCAGCTGGTGGTTTTGAACTGCTGACCTTGCCGTGATCAGTGCACTGAGTAACCACAACACCACGGGGCTCCTCCAGGCACTGAGTCAACCAATGAACCCCTCCTCCCTTCTCTCCGCCTGTCAGGGCTCTATCTGCATGAGGAAGACCCTTTCCGTGCTCCCTGACAGGACCCCGGGTGTGTCACCCACCTGTGTGGAACTGGGGCCGGCCTGCGTCCCTCCGGGGGCGGGAGGAGCAGTGAATGGGCGGGGCTGACACCAGAGGGAGGCAGGTGACTGTCAGGCCTGGGAAGAAGGCCTCTGTGTAGCTCCGCACGCTGTCCAGCAGGGGGTATGCCACTGGCCCCTGGCCCAGATCTGTGGGCAGAGTGGCACGTCCTTGCCCACCCTAGACCCTCCCCTCGCCTCCCCACCCAGGCACACCTCTTTGCTAGCAGGGGCTGGCTGGGCGACCGAGGCCAGAGCAGCAAACAGAGACCTGCTGGGCAGAATGGACCTGCCCCCGTGGGTTTCTGAGGTTGTCCATCTTTACAGGGACAGACAGCCTCATCTTCCCGCCATGGAGTGGGCCGTGGGTTTGAACCACTGACCTTGGGGGAGCAGTCTAAGACACTGCACTCCCAGGGCTCCTCAAACTCCTTCTGGCAAAGGGAGCGTGGAGGGAACTGCCGGCTGAGGGAGCAGAGGCTACACGGTGGACTGGCCTCACGGGCTCAGGGTGGGTGGGCGGCCTGTGTGTTTTGACCATGTTATGGCTAGTAACGGGCCCTGAGAGGCGGGCAGCTGGAATCCAGCAAGCTCAGCGCCACGCCTGGCCTCCTGGCCTCTCATCCCGGGGGGCCAGACACTCCCGGGCTGCCCCCTCCCCACCCTCGTCAGTCCTGCGGGCCCATGTGCATCCCTAGTCCCCACCCTGACCCCAGCAGGGACCCCTGGAACCTATGGGCTGCAGGCAGATGCGTCTCCGGCCGGGATTTGGTTTGCGGCCCTGCAGGGACTGGTAGAAGGCCTGGAAGTCCTCGGGGGGCTCGGGGCGGCGCAGGAGCCAGTCGGAGGCCGTGTGGATCCTCAGCGGGCGGAAAAGAGTCCCATGGGGGTTGTAGGCCTCAGCCAGGAACAGCCGCTCCACTGGGGAGAAGGCGGAGGCGTAGAGCTGGCCCAGGGCCACATCGCTGGACACCAGGGCGTCCTTCAGGGCCCGAGGGCCGAAGCTGAACTCCTGGGCGGGTCTACACTGGAGCATGTCCACTCCCGGGAGCCCAGGCGCTACCCATGAGCCACCAGGGCACAGCCAAGGTGTCTTCCAGAACCTTCTTTCCGCTGCTCCATGGAGGTGGGGGTACTGTTGTCACCCTGCAGCAGGTGGGGGTGGGGACACAGCACTGTCACCTCTCTCGGATCCCACAGCCGCAGGGGACACCACATGGTGGACACTTTGCCGGCTCCGACGCACCTGACCTAAGCGATGGTTTTCTCTTGTGGACGTGAGACTGGACCACAGAGAAGGAAGACCAGACCGCCTTTGAAGGGCCGTGTTGGCGAGGAACCCGGACTAGCCCATGCACAGCCGTAGGAGTGAACGGGCGTGTCTTGGAAGAGGGAAGACAAGAATGCTCCTTAGAGGCAAGAAGGGATGGCGATACTTGGTCTCCTGCCCTTCAGACATGTTGGCAACAGAGAGCAGTCCCTGAAGAAGGGCACCACGCATGGTAGAGGGGAGGGGCACAGCACGGAGGAAGAAGACCTTCGACTAGATGGACTGTCCTGGCGGCTGTGGCAACGAGGGGCTCAAATGAGAACCATCGTGTGCAGAGTTGGGGTGTCCAGC